GAGTTTGGGGCTTTTATCTTTAAGGTGCAGAAAGATTTCTTAAGTATTTCCCCAAAAGTGGGTAAGTGGGTTTTTCTTGTACACTTGTTACTTGGGTATTGCATGTTTCTTTAGATCCACAGCTGGAGACACTGTCTCCATCCTGAATATTAGCAGTCAAATCAGCTGTGGGGTAATCCTTCTGTACACTGTGAAGATGTGTTGCTCTCTTTGTTAATAAAACGCTGATTGACTGATGGCTAGGCAGTGTTTTCGGGGCAGAGAGAATGCTGGGGAAGAAGGGTAGAGTCAGGAGAGATGCCACCTGACACAGAATGAGCAGGATGCGAAGTACATACATGAGGTAAACAAACCTCAGGGCAGCACATAGATTAATAGAAATGGGTTAATTTAAGTTATGAGAGCTAGCTAAAAACGATCCTAAGCTATCAGCCAAGCATATATAATTAATATTAAGTCTCTGATTTAATTTGGGAATGGCTAGTGAGACAGAGAAAATTCTGCCTATACAGATCTACAAGCCTGAAATAAAGGGTTCTCAATTTACTGTTTCTGGGTCTCTGACATACTAAACCAACCCAATGATTTAATACTGCACTCCCCCAAGTATATACAGCAATAAGTATCTTTCACTATCCTCCACTAACCATATTGTCTTATATATTGGAAATGACACATCACCATCATGAAGACAACAGTAAACAATTACCATGTCTTGAGGATGGCTATGATCTGAATACTAGCTGTCTCCCTAGAATCCATTTTGGAGCCTGTATTAGAAAGACTTTTCAGCACTGTGACAAATACCTTAGAGAAACAGCTTAAAGGTATATGATGGCACAGCCATATCTGAATGGAATGGCAGAAGTCATAGAGCCAGCACAGATGCTTGACAAAGATCCAGCAGAGCTGAGCCACATGATGGCTGCCATGCCACCTTTGGTTTTCATCTCGCAGAGCTGAGCCACATGATGGCTGCCATGCCACCTTTGGTTTTCATCTCCACCTGTTACACACTTGGGGCACTTTTAATATTTGTACAATTTGGGGATATTGGATTGATGGGAAATTCCTCATGAATCATTTACGCCTTCTCCCAGGAATGCTGCTTCTAAGCTTATCCAGCAAAGTCTTGAACATACTATCTGCCCCCCCCCCCGACTTTGAGGGAGATATCCTTATCTACTTGAAGGTCTTCCTTACACCTTGGAGGTTGTGACACATAAAGAAGAATCCAGAGGTCTCTTTATGAGGCTATGAGACATTCTTGAAACATCTGTCCCTCTACTTACACAGGAACAAGATATTCAAAACAAAGTAAAATTAAAAAGGTCAACAAGATTCAGTGGGCTAGAGGGATTGTCCACAGTTCAGATTACAAGCCTCTTCCCACTGTACTCTCAGACAATTACGTGGCATACAACTCTGCCCTACGTAGAGACATATTGATGAGCAAAGTATGGAGTGGAAAGATGATAAAAGTATGAGATGTTAGGACCTCTCTCTCTTAGAAGTTAGCTCATGTAGAGCCACTATAATGTCATATGACCAAGGAACAACAGAATGTCAGAATTAGACATATAGACAAATTCTATAAGGATATAAATGTGAACATTGATTGTATTATGCCAGAATTTGAATAATAACTACAGCAGCTTTAGCCTGAGGATTTTTCCTGGGCACTCTGACCACTAAGAGTTAATAATACATTGCTTGAGACATGGCAAAATGTCCAGGGTGGTTGAAGATTTTTTGTTTTGGTCTAGTGTCCTTGAAGCAACCAAAACAACCAGCCTGAGCACAGGCTGTCATATGCCTCTAGATTCTCAAAAATTGGGTTAATGAGTAAGAATGATAACACTGTTTATTAATGATGTCAAAACTTGAGGGAAAATGATTGGAAATGATAACTCTGTTCTGTCATAGTTTATTAATGATGACTAGAAGATGAGCAAATGGAAGTGAAACACATGTCCAAAACTAAAAGTGATATGATCTATGTTTTGGAACATCATGAATGTATCCCTGCTAACTAAATTCTGTATAGATAAAGAAACACTCTGGCTGCTAGTCAGTCAGGCTGCAAGATTCTCCCAATCACCATGGCCTGGCTCACTTCCTTCTCCCACCGACTCCTTACACCCTCTGCAGGACCCATCCACTGCTGGGGATGGCTCCCAGCAGTTTTATTTGGCTCACAGTTTCAGAACTCTTAGCTCATGGTCATTCACGCCATTGTTTATGGACTGTGTAGTGTGTCTTAGTCAGTATTCCATTGCTATGAAGAGACACCATAACCATAGCACCTCTTTATAAAAAAAAGCATTTAATTGGGTCTGGCTTACAGTTTCAGAGGTTTAATCCATTATCATCATGGTGGGAAGCATGGCAGCATGCAGGCAGACATGGTGCTGAAGAGGTAGCTAAGAGTGCTACAGCTGGACCAGCAAGCCACAGGAAGAAAAAGAGACACTAGGCCTGACCAGCATTTGAAATCCAAAGCCCATCTCCAGTGACACACTTCCTCCAACAAGACCACACATACTCCAACAAGGCCACGCCTCCTAATCCCTGTCAAGTAGTGCCACTCCCTCATGGCCAAGCATTCAAATTTATGAGCCCATGGAGGCATTCCTATTCAAAGAACCACATTCCACTCCCAAGCACCCATAGGCATGCTTATAAACATATCATAATGCAAAAATGCATTCAGTCCAACTTCAAAAGTCCCCATAGTCTATCACAGTCTCAACAATGTTTAAAAGTCCAAAGGGAGCCTAGTAAGGAAATATTGGCCAAAGGAAGACTGAATACCAGCAGGGCAAATTCTGAATTCTGCATCTTCATGTCTGATATCAATGGGCTCTTCAGAGCTCCAATTCCTTTAAGCTTTGTTGACTGCAACACACTTTTTTCTCTTGGGCTGGTTCCACATCAGGTCTTCAGTTCTCCTCAGCAGGCATCCCATGACTCTGGCATCTCCAACATCTTGGGGTTTCCAAGGCAATCCAGGCTTCACCTTCACAGCTTCACACAAAGACCTCTTTGGCCCTCCATGAAGAGACATCTCTGTTACATGCTTGGCCTCATCAGCTTTTCTTAGAGAAAGATTCCACAACCCTTCCCCTTCCTTTTTTTTATTTTACATACTGACCACAATTTCCCCTCCCTCCTCTCTTCCTGCCCCACTCCCATCTACCCCCATCCCCATCCACTCCTCCTCTGTCTCCATTCAGAAAGGGGCAGGCCTCCCATGGACTTGAACAAAACATGGCACATCAAGTTGAGGCAGGACCAAGCTCCTCCCTCTGCATCAAGGCTGGGTGAGACAATCCATCATGGGGAACAGGTTTCCAAAAGCCAGCTAAGTGCCAGGGACAGGTCCTGATCTCACTGCTAGGAGCCTTACAAATAGACCAAGCTACATAACTGTCACCCACATGTAGAGGGCCTAGGTTGGTCCCATACAGGCTCCCTGACTGTTGGTCCAGGGTCTGTGAGCTCCCAGGAGCTCAGGTCAGCTGTCTCTGGGCACAACCCCTTTCTTATATCCTTGACTCTAATGCCAGAACCACGTAGCCAAAGCTATGAAATTCTTCTGCTTGCTAGGACTGGAACATGGCCCTTTCATTTGAATATATTTTATCAGCTTTATGATTTTGATAGTTTCCTTCACTGCCTAAGCTTGGCTGTCCTAGAACTAATTCTAAATACCAGCAGTTCTCAACCTGTGGGTCGCAACCCCTTTAGGGGTCAAATGACCCTTTCACAGGGGTCACATATCAGATATCCTACATATCAGATATTTACACTACAAGTAGTAGAACTACAATTATGAAGTAGCAATGAAAATAATTTTATTTTTGGAGGTCACCACAACATAAGAACTGTATTAAAGGGACACAGCATTAGGAAGATTGAGATCTGCTTCTACAGACCAGGTTGACCTCAAATTCAGAAATCTACCTGCTTCTGTCTCCGGAGTGCTAGAATTAGACCTGAAGGTATGACCACCAGAAGGGACGGTGAGGATTATTTAATCTGCCTTCTGTTGATAAGCCTTTTCCGCATCTTACTGGGTACTGTAATACCTTCTTAGAATTTTCTTTTGCTCTTCCACAGTCATTTTCCTGCAAACTTAGGAAAGATCACGTCAGAGGGCTGTGGATCTGATACTATTTTTAAGCATTGCAATTTTCTGAAATTAGGCCCAATTAGGAGGTCTGTGAGAGCCAGTGAAGTACAAGGTGATGCAGGCTTTCCCATCCCCCATTTCCTCACACATGAACCCATGCTTCACAGATTATGGAATCATAACCAGGGAAATCATGAAATTAAGGAAGACAAATTGGCTACAGGGCATGCAGCCATGATTCCTAAACTTCTCCATGCATTCAGCAGAGGCTAATAAGTAGACCAAACTCCTCTAACTAAAAGAAATGATCACTATGGTGTGTCATCAAAGGAAACACAGAGGACTCACGGTCACTCATTCATTTTGTATTTTCTGTTTAAAATCATGTTATTTACATGTGCTTTTGTAATTTTTTTAGTTGAGCCACAGAGTTTGTAGAGAAGTAACTAGAACCCGAATCAGCTTTCCCTTTCATACATGAATATATACACCCCTCATATATTTTTCCTAGAGAAAATATTAATTGAATAAAGAGACTACTAAAAGAGCAGACCATAATCTGAGTTGTAAATTCATAGCTTGGATTGTTAAAGGATGAGGTTCATTCATTAGTGAGCTAAATACAGTGGACCAAAAAGAACATAATTCACTTCTTCCTAGACACTTGATGAAATATTGGTTCTTAAGCATGCTCTGAGAAAGAACACTCTTTAACATTTTGATTCAATTTTTTCATAACTGAAGCACACTCTTTAATTCCCAGGGGTCATAAAAATCTGCCCTTTATGCTCTTGCTATTCACAATTCTGCACTTGCAACTATAAGTTACTAAAAATATTGAAGGAATTACAACAGCTGTTCAGACCTGAAACTCGATGCCCGGAAACTGCTGCAGGACTGGAAATTGCCCATCATTGCTGAGTCAGTCATTCGTGTGCATGTCTGCCAGGAAGCAGCCATCATTCTGTGCCAAATTTAGCAGGTGCTGTGTTCATGTTCCAAAGTAGAGAGAGAGTCTCTCTAAAAATATCTATCTTCCTTGTTCACCCAGGCAGCACATTATTTTGGAAGAGAATGCATTTCTAGCAACAATAGGGTATGTGTGTATTTGTTTATCTTTGCGCCATTTCATGTTAAAAAAAAAAAAGATTTGTTTATGCCATGGTGTGGAATGGAACACGTGACTCAGTGTCTGAGACTGTACACCGTAGAAGCTGGAAGATGGAGGTTCAGCAAAGCAGCTCAGACTCTTTCTCAGGAGTCAGACTGCAAAATCCTCAGCACAAAAGGCACCCGGCTTACTTAGTTTTAAGTTTCAGGCATTTCTTGGGCATGTCTATTTATTTTCTTGATGTTCCTCCTTGCCTCAGTATTGGACAGTAGGAATTTGTCATGAGTATGAGTTTATGTTGAAAACTGGATTTTTAGCTGGAGGATAAATGCAATTAAGGAAGATTTAGTTTTTCAATTAGATTATAAAGTAATGGGTGTCCATAATGGTTTTTCATACATGTTTCATTTTGATTGATTCCCCCTACCCCCGCTTTCCCCACTGTACCCAGTTACCCCCACCATTTACCCACTTCCACTTTATTCTATTATCTTCCCTCTATCCTCTCCCTTAGAAACCTCTTTTTTTTTTCACATCTCATGGGTCCCTTCTAGTTTCCTAGTTTCACGTGGTTGCATAAATCTTAGAGTTACAGATAAGAGAGAACAACCTCACTTAAAATACTGTTTTCCAAAAAGCCAGTTCATGCACTAGGGATGGATCCTATTCCCACTGCCAGGGGCCCCTTAAGCAGATCAAGCTACACAACTGTCTCCCATATGCAGAGGGCCTAGTGCAGTCCCATGGAGGCTCCACAGCTGTTGGTCTAAAGTTCATGAGTTTCCACTAGCTTTGTTTGGTTGTATCTGTATCCCATCATGATCTTGATGCCCCTTGCTCATAGAATCCCTCTTCCCTCTGTTCGACTGGACTTCTGGAGCTCGGCCTGGTGCTTGGCTGTGGATTTCTGCATCTGTTTCCATCAGTTATAGTGGATGAAGGCTCTAGCCCATTACCTATAGTGAGACACCTTGCACAGCCTTGATGCAGGGGCAGGGACTTGGACCTGCCTCATCTGAATGTACCAGGCTTTGCTGACTCCCCAGGGGAGGCCTAACCTTTTCAGAGGAGGGTCTGGGGTGTGGGCTGAGGGGGAAGCTTAGCAGGGAGCAGAAGGGATGAGAGGGGAATCTGTGCTTGATATGTAAAATGAATTTTAAAAATTCTTATTAAAAATGTTTTCCAGTTTCATCCACTTGCCAGCAAATTTCCTAATTCTATTTTGCTTCATGGCTGAATAAAATTCCCTTGTGTGTATGTATTACATTTCATTATCTATTCATCATTTGATGGACATCTAGGCTGGTTCCATTTCCTGGTTGTTGTGAAAAGAATATCAATAAGCATGGATAAGCAGGTATATCTGTGCTAGGCTGCAGAGTCCTTTGGGCATATATGCCCATGGATGATCATATCTGTCTTAGATACTTTTACTTGGAGCTTCTTGAACAGCCTCCATGTTAATTGCCATAGTAGCTGCTGCACTAGGTTACATGGCCATAGATTACAGGTTCCTTCTGTTCTATTTTGTGGAACAGTTCAGGAAGTGTTGGTATTGGGTCTTCTTGAACAGTTTGGTAGAACTCAGCAGTCAATCTGTCTGTTCCTAGACTGTCATTTGTGGGGACACTTTGAACCACCGCTTCAGCTTCCTTGCGTGTTATAGGCAATCTTGATGGCAGTTATTTCCTTTCAAGGCTCAGAGTCCATCATTCTATGCGCTCCTAGCATGCAGGGCTGCCAACAACAGCCAGCTCTGATGTTATTCTGCCATCTCTGTGTGTTTCTTTACAACATGTTTTATTGATTAATGACAGACTTTGACTAATCATCAAACTATCCTGCATAAAGGGCTTTGGTAAAAAATGCATTCATTTCCTGATAATAAATAAATCTAGCTTTGTACAATTAGAAAAACCAAGACAGTGACAAATAACAAAATAAGAAGAAAATGGATCCTGGGTCCAAAATCCAACAACTAAACCAAAGAACAAAGTAAAAATATGGAACACTTCATAAATTTGCATGTCATCCTTCGTTCAGGGCCATGTTAATCTTCTCTGTTAGTGTATGTGCTGCTGAAGTGAGCACCTCTGTATGTTACCTGGCAATTTTCCCTTATAGATTTTAGTATTGATTTTTTCCTTTGTATTTTTGACATCTCAGCTATGATACATTGGGAAGAGATTCTTCTCTGGTCATATCTATCTGGAGTGCTAGATGCTTCCCTTATTTTGATTTATTTTTCCAGATTTGGGGACGTCTTGGCTATAATTACAGTGAAAAAGTATGTATAATCTATTACCTTTTGTCTCAGCTGTGTCTTACAGCCCATGAATTCTTGGTTTTGGTCCCTTGAGTGTACCCAGACTTCTTGGTGCTTTTGCTGGTGCTCACTGACTTTTCCTTATATGTGTATCTGTGTGTGCGATTGTCTTGATTGTTGCCCCCATCCCAGATATTCTTTCTTCTGCTTGGTCTTTGTTGATGATGTTGATGATATCTGTTGTATTTTTTATTGGATCTTTTGTAACAGGTCTTTCTTTGGACTGCCAGCTCCCAATTAATGACATGTAGACTTATTATTAATTATGAAAGCTTGGGCTTAGCCTAGGTTTATCCCAACTAGCTCTTAAAACTTAAATTAACTCATTTATATTAATCTACATTCTGCCATGTGGCTCATTACCTCTCCTCCATACTGTACATCCAACTCCCTCTGCTTCTCACTGGAGAATCCCTTGTTCCAGATTCTTCCCGAGTTCTTCTCTCTCCCCGGAAGTCCCGCCTATTCTCTCCTGCCTAGCTATTGGCCATTCAGCCCTTTCTTAGACAGATCAGAAGGTGCACTAGGCAGGTGAGGTAAAACAGAGACATCTTCATACAGTGTGAACAAATATCCCACAATGGTCTTTCATTTCCAGAATTTCCACTTAGCTATTTTTTTTTTGGTGTTTCTATTTCCTTGCTGAATTTTTCCTCTGTACTTTTACATTTTTCCTGCAGAGTACTGAATCTTTCATTCACTTTGGTAACTGTCAGGTCTATGTCTTTAATTGATTTTGAAAGTTTCTCTTCCACGTTTTGGATTATTTGAATCCTCTAGCTGGTCTTTGACCCTTTTTTCAATTTTTATTTATTTATTTATTTATTTATTTATTTATTTATTTATTTATTTATTTTGTGTGTGTGTGTGTGTGTGTGTGTGTGTGTGTGTGTGTGTGTGTGTGTGTATGTCTATGTATATGCACCATTGCATGCATGCACAAGCCAGAAGACAACTTGAGGGAGTCAATTCTCTCTTTCCACCATGTGAGTTAGAGGGTTTGAACCTACATCCTCAGGCTTGCCACAAGTGCCTTAACCCACTGAACCATGCCAGCCACTGGTCTTGAACCTTTAAAAACTAGTAATCTGAAGTCTTTTGCTGGCACTTTGGTTATCATATCATCTTTTTTTCTGGTGCTATGAAGCTATCAGTTTGTGGAGCTGTCATAGTGGAGTGTTGCTTCTTGTGTTTTATCTTTCTTTGCTATGTTTCATACAAAAGTTGGGGTGTATGTATCCTTGGCTTGTAGATTCTCTCCTTTTCCCACAGTTTTTGTTTGTTTGCTTTGTTTTATGTGAGTCCTCCAAATGAGTTTTCTTTGCTTGGGTTTAAGTTGACTATAATAAAAACTATGATGGACTGACAAATGTCTCAGTGTTAGCTGTGGGAAAGATACTGAACTTCTGACTTGTGTTTGTAGGTTTGAAGGCAGATGCACTAGGGTCCTGTGGGTACATAGGATTCTGTCTGGGGTGACAGAGTTCTATTGTTCAGTATCACTTACTCTGAGGCCCCTGAGAATGCAGTTTACAGGCAGCCCCGACTCAGCAGGAGTCCTTTTGAAATGACACCAGCTCCTGCTTCAGTGGCCTTCTGAGTAGCCTGCTCCCACTTGTCCGCTCTCAGACCTCCAGTCACTGTCAATTGCAATGCTGCTCTGAGCTTGAGTGGCCCTGCTGGCTCACCCCCAGGAGACAGGAGTGTCCATATGGCTGTCACTTGACAGAAGTTTTGAAACAAAACTTTCTTTGCCAACACAGTCCCTTAGTTTCTGTCCTGCCATCCATGACCTTCTGAGCATCTCTCTGTAGGATCTTCTCACTGCCATTGCTCAAGCCATTTCCTCCACTACAGATGAACTACTCGTCATTTTACAACAGTCTATCTCACTCAAATCTCAACTCAAAAATCACCTCTGTCATGTCAACTTTTCCTGGAGAAATGAATAAACATCTGCTAACTCCCGGTAGGGCACTAATAACAGACTAAAGGAATCGTTCCACATAAATTCAGCTTGCTGGAGCAATGATTTTAGCTCAGTTAGGGCAAAAGCAGCAAAGACAGCTTATAAGTGGCTATACCACCAAAAAAATGTCTCTCACAGCATCAATTAACTGCCTATAAATTCTGAAGGAGGAGCAGGGCCTCATGAGCCCCCCTTCCTGCCTCCATGGCCGAATGTGAATGGGCCCAATTGAGTGTAGGTGGTGTGTGAGTAAACGTAGTTGCTGAGAGTTCAAAAGGGCAACAGACATGTTGTAGATGGGACTTTTCTTTCCCAACCACCAGTACCAAGGAACCAACACAGAGGCTTAATATTAATTATAAATGCTCAGCCAATAGCTCAGGCTTGTTACTAACTAACTCTTACATTTTAAATTAACACATATTTCTTATCTATGCTGTGCCACATGGCTTGGTACCTTTTCTCACAGCATGTCCATCTTGCTTCTCTCTGCATCTGCTGGCAACTCCCCTGACTCCACCCTCCTTTCCAGTCCTTAGTTTGGCTGTCCCACCTATACTTCCTGCC